AAGCCTCTCTGGTGCTGAATGTATTTGGATGACACATCACCCTTACCCCCATCCTCTTAACATATAGACCTTAAACCAACTCCCGGTATATATACTATATGAATATACTGTAAGGTTTCTGTTTCTGTAGCAAATAATACACATGAAGGAGTGAGCATGAGACTGGGTGAAAATATGATTGGATAGTGTACATTTGGCACATATAAAAACATTATTAGCTGAGAAGGATTCTTCTCTATGAGAATTTGTAATTTGAACTTCTTCTCCTCTGTTCCATGTGAGAACAGTAAACTACATTGTGGTCATATTTCAGAGCTATAAACTGTTCTTGAAATATATTTTCATATCAAATCGGTTAAGGGAACACTGAACATTATTCCTGCAAGCACTAAGAAAATAAAATAGATTTATACTGTGCATATAAGAAGCAACAGTGAGAACTGGACATGGAACTACTGATTGGTTCAAAATTGGGAAAGGAGTCCGGCTGTATTCTGTCGCCCTGCCTATTTAACTTATATGGAGAGCACATCATGAGAAAGGCAGGGCTAGATGAATCAAAAGTTGCAATTAAGATTGCTGGGAGAAATATCAACAACCTAAGATATGCAGATGATACCACACTAATGGCAGAAAGTGAAGAGGAACTAAAAAGCCTCTTGATGCGGGTGAAGAAGGAGAGTGCAAAAGTTGGCTTGAAACTCAACATTAAGAAAACCAAGATCATGGCATCCGGTCCTCTTAATTCCTGGCAAATAGATGGGGAAGAAATGGAGGTAGTGACAGATTTTATCTTCCTGGGCTCCAAGATCACCACAGATGGGGACTGCAGCCAAGAAATTAAAAGACGCTTGCTCCTGGGGAGGAAAGCTATGGCAAATCTAGACAGCATACTAAAAAGCAAAGACATTACCCTGCCAACAAAAGTATGTATAGTCAAGGCCATGGTTTTCCCATTTGCAATGTATGGCTGTGAAAGTTGGACCACAAGAAAGGCTGAGCGCCAAAGAATTGAGGCCTTTGAACTATGGTGCTGGAGAAGACTCCTGCGAGTCCCCTGGACTGCAAGGCGATCAAACCAGTCAGTCCTAGAGAAGATCAACCCTGACTGCTTTTTAGAAGGCCAGATCCTGAAGTTGAAACTCAAATACTTTGGCCACCTAATGAGAAGGAAGGACTCACTGGAGAAGGGCCTAATGCTGGGAAAGATTGAGGGCAATAGAAGAAAGGGATGACAGAGAATGAGGTGGCTGGATAGAGTCACTGAAGCAGTAGGCGTGAGCTTAAATGGACTCCAGAAGATGGTAGAGGACAGGAAGGCCTGGAAGAATGTTGTCCATGGGTTGCGATGGGTCGGACACGACTTTGCAACTAACAACAACAGCATACTGCGTACACTATGTTCAGTGTATGGTCTGGGGAAATGGATACAGTATTTTTATTCAACAGGATTAAAAGTAGTAGGAAGTATGGCAATAAGACCTGTAAAAGCTAGCACAGGGAACATATCTTTTCCACACGTGTCATTGCTCAGATCATAGTGGTAATCGCAATCCGTATTTAATTAAAATTAACAAATCAAAATAGATCAGCTAGAAAAATATAACTATGGATATAGTCCAGAGTCAAATCATATACTTTGGTTCTTAGATGAAGGATGGCACCACCACGCAACAAACAGTTCTGTCATTGTGCAAACATCTTACCCACACAAAAGAGCAGATGATGCTTGCCAAGACTTCATTCAACTTTGCTTTCCTCTACTATCTAGAGTGCTGCTCTGTTTTGAACCCTTCCTGCTTTTAGATTTTAGTAATATTGCAACACAAAGATACGTGTGCTTAATAGAAACTATTGTCCCACTTTAAAAATCTTCCTAGAGGGCAGAAATTGGGACAGTGTTTCTTTTCAGTAGAAAGAAACAGAAAAGAGTGACAGTTGAAGAAAACGAGTTACCTCATTGTCATTCATTTCTGAATCACATTTATAAAATCCTAGCAGTGTCACAATACTATGAAAGAGATCATGGCTAGATTGTGTTGGCGGGATTGTAAACACATGAATACTTATTG